CCACAAGCCTGTTCCCCCACCCAACACTTCAGATGGCAATTGCAAGCCTCAGGTTGTGACCTGTGCTTCTGATCAACTGGCTATACATTGGGATTCTCATGCCCCCGCCTCCTTAGGTTCAATGAATTTGCTAAGGTGGCTCATAGAACTCAGGGAAACACTTTACTTATGTTTGACCGTTTACTACAAAGGATATTAAAAAGGATAGAGATGAACATCCAGATGAGAGATGCATCTGGTGAGGTATGGCAGAGGGGGCATGGGGCTTCCGTGTCCTCTCTGGGCACACCACCCTCCAGGAACCTCCATGTGTTAGGCAATCCAGAAAGTCTGCAAACCCTGTTTGGTTTTCTGTAAAGCCTCCATTACACAGGCATGATTGATTACAACACTGGCCATTAGTGATCAACTCAAACTTCAGGCCCTCTCCCCTCCCTAGAGGTTGGGGTATAGGCTGAAAGTCCCAACCCACTAAACACGCCTTTGTTTTTGTGGTAACCAGCCCCTATCCTCAAGTTATTTTGGAGCTCCCTGCCAGCAGTCATCTCATTAGCATACCGTCTAAGTCCATTTTGCGTTGCTATAACAGAATGTCACAGACTGGGTAATTTATTTAAAATCGAAATCTATTTCTCAGAGTTACGGAATCTGGGAAGTCCAATATCAAGGTGTCAGCATCTGCAGAGGGCCTTCTTGCCGCATGGTGAAAGGTGAGAGGAGGAGAGAGGGACAAACTTGCTTTTGTAACTAACCCAATCTCCACATAACAAATCCACTCCTGAGACAACACCATTAACCCATTCGTTAAGTCAGAGCTTTCATGACCTAATCACCTCTTAGAGGTCCCACCTTTCAACACTGTCACACTTGGGATTAAGTTTCCAGCTCATGAACTTTGGGGAACACATTCAAACCACAGGACATACAAAAGATACTCTTATCACTCTGGGGATTCCTCGAGTTTTAGAAACTGTATGCCAGGAAATGGGGACAAAGACCAAATATATACTTCACAAAATTATGGGTTTCTCTCCCAATTTACAACTTACTCACTGCATGACCTCAGAGAAGTCACTTAATTCCTCTGCACATTGGTTTCCCCACATATAAAATGAAATGTTGGACTAGACGATTGTTAAGTTTCTTTTAGTTCTCAAATGCTATGTCTTTTTATTAACTTCCTAGAATGTATGTTGTTTTTCTTTTACATAGGAGACAAAGTTCAATGGAATTTTGAGAATAATTGAATATAACGAACTCCTGAGCCTCACAAATAGTAGGAATTCAAGAGTAACCACAAAATTAATTAATGATTTCAATATACTTATGCTGTAAGAACTGTGAATGGCATAAGACTTGGAGAATAAGGCAAAAGAAGTTTCACATTAACTGTCCTCTCTAAGGAAGTAAAAACAGTTTCATTACCCTATTTGAAAAAGATTAAGAATAACTTTTACTTACAAAGTTTCCCAGATCTGTACATTTGTGGTGGCATGGCACAAATGATATAATAAGATTAATTCCTGGCATTTATTGAGTACTTGTTTCATAACAAACAGTGTTTTACACATATGCATTCATGTCTAATCTAATCTTCATAACAATTGCCAGAGGGAAGTATTACTACCATATGCAATTTTTACATGAAAAAAATCAAGGCACAGAGATGTTAAGTACACCTCACACAGCTAGTAGGTAGCACAGGAGGACTTTTCTCTAGGTGTTCCAAAGGCCAGAGACTGTGTCTGTAACTATTATACTAAGTTATACCAGTCTCCTCCAGCCTGGACCTATGGAGTCTTTTCTACCCATGATTAACTAATGCTTGAGTAAAATGAGCCTGAATTTTTGACTGGCCTGAAATTTCGTCCTAAGAAAGAGGATAGTAATGCAGCTAATATATTTTAACATATATGAAAAAGCCAAAAGGGTAATACACAAATCCATGAGAAAAATGGACAAAAATATGTAGATACAGACAACAGAATAAACACAACATACCAATAAATATGACAATGTCATCTACCTCAATCAGGAAATCTACTTTAAAATGAGATATCATTTTTTTACCCAACAGACTGTGAGGGGAAAAAGGTGTTACATGTGATGTTGACGACAGTAAACACATTGTTGGTGGAGGTATAAATTGGCACACATTTTGGATTTAAAAAACTGAAATTATTTACCCAACATTTAAAACACGAATACTAATTCTAAGAATCCATTCTACCAAAATACTTACATATGTAACTGCACAAAGAAATGTGTACATGGATTTGGTATTAAACTGATTTCAAAAATTCAAAAGATCAAGTGTTAATTAATTTTGAAATTACTAAATTATGAAAAATATGTTACATAGCTATTAAGTAGAACAAGTATTATCTAAAATGAGCTGCAATGAAAATAGTTCATCAAATATAGCTAAATGAAGAAAGCAAGTAACATTTTTATCACACTGTCTGATTTGTGCAGGGAAGTCTCCTAGCTATACATAAATTCATACACCTGTATATGTGCATGTGAGTACACATGTACGCACGTGTGTTTACACATATCTGTATTTAATTTCATGATCAGGAATGATGCACATTAAGCAGTCAACAGAAGTTGCTTTAGGAAGAGGAATGAGCTATGAGAAATAAACACTTCTATGTTTTTTCAATAATATTACATGAAACATGTATTACTGTTAGAATTTTTAAAAAGCCTTTTCTCAAAAAACTTCTGGCCCTTAAGTGCTCAAAACAGTGCACATTTCTCATATATTTTAGAAAAAGCCAAAATTAAGCAATTATTAAAAGCAGTTTAGAATTTTGCTGGATTGTGCTAAATTGTATCAAAGTGTTTCCTCAAAAATGTCATTTTTTATCACTTATATTATTATTCAATATTAGGCTATGTTTAAGTAAGTTAACCTATATTATTAATTAAAATAATTTGCATGAGAAACCAAATAGCACACAAAATAAACCATGATTCCTCAGACTCTAAGATAACTGCATGACATAAGCAAAAAGTCAATACTTCATGCCATATGTGGATGCTTTTTATAATATGAATTGATCTTGAGAGCTCCTAATACTTTAGCTTCAGAGTTACCGGCCCTTCCTCATTCCTCTCATTGCCATAATAATGTTAAATAATGTATTAGGTAGGATAAACAGCAACAGGTAAACTCCCAAATCACAGTGATTTAACAAGTGCAAGGCAGGTATGAGAGACAGCCTTCCACGTAGTGATGCAGGGACCCAGGCACCTTCTATCGCATGGTACCACCATCCTAGGGCCTTGTGGGTCTTCACTTCCAGCTAGTGATGGGAAGGTCGAACATGGAGGAGGCATACCCTCTTCCTCCATGCATGCCCTCCTCCCACTGCAGCCTGGGAAGCTGCACAGGTCTCTTCTGCTTGTATACCTTTGATAAGAACATGACCCCACCTAAATGTAAAAGGGTTGGGAAATGCAGTCCCATACTGGCAGTTAAGTCCAGAGACAATCGTGCAAGGGAAGAAGACCCCACATCTTTTAAGGAATTTGTCTTAGTTAAGGTAACACTAGCAGCTGAAACAAATAAACCCTAAAAGTAAGTCCTTACAATTATTTCTCTTTTGTTCCCTGTTTCTAAGGATTTCAAATGAACTTCTGCCCTTTTAACTCACAATTATTCATGACATATAATTGAGAACATTAGCATTTTCACTCTCTCCTCATTCCATTTCTGTCATGCCATCCTGAAGACATATTTACCTATGTCTTGGCTGTTTCTCCCAACATTATTAGCTGCTCTTTTATAAAATATCTCTTATGATAATTTACTCTGCAAGGTGGCTAAATTCACCCATCTTATGTTAGCTTTTGTCTGTATTAGTCTCAAATGAACTCTGTGGTCAAATTCTGCAAGTACTTTAAGCATAGAAGTTATAAATGTCCAATGAAATCAAATGCCCAATGCTGGCAGATCATGTAAATGTTTCCATTCGTGTGCTAAGTTCTTTCATACACTTTTGTGTCATTTTTACTCTCTTCAAGATAAGCTATTTCAGTTTAATTTTAACAGAATATGGACAATTTTGAGTTATAGCGATTGATATTCATGTTCCTAAAGGGTTTTGCTAAGTTTTTGTTTGTGTGACATTCCCAAATGTTATACTTACTAATTATTTTCTATCTTTTTAATTTTTATACCCTCAAATGTGTGTTCATAACCAATGTTCCTAAGGTTTTGGTTATATAGAAATGAATTCTCTAAAGCTATTATTCACAGAACTTTCAGTTGACTACTTGCTCCCAAAAGGCAGTTTCCTGATTTCTGCATACTGGCGTATCATGCAAACATCTGTAAGCATATCCATTTCTACTAAGATGGGACTGTTCTGTCTCTGTTATTTTCATTTGTATACTTTTATTTTGTATATGTTTACTCTGACCATTTTTAGAAGTTAAAGCTGCTTCAACTTGATATGTGATAAAACATGTAATTTGAGGTGATGCGTTTCCTAAATTAGTTTGTTTGGCATCATAAAAACCTTATATTTAACTTGTTTTAGTTCACATTTTCTGTTTTCTACCTTAAAATGACTTTTTCTAACTGATGTTCACATGATGAGGAATACAGCAAAAAGTTCTAAAATTATTGTTTTCATAGGCTTGCTGTCATTTATATCAGTTGCATTTCACCAGGGTATGGAAATAAAACTAAAGAAGAAAAGACTAATGTTTATGGATGGCCCACTAGGCACTAGATATGATCAGGAGCATTTTTGTGTGTCCCCAAAGCAATTCACTGTGGACATATACAGCTGGAACACAGGTGAGCATGTTCTCACACCGTGATTACCTGTGCAAGATTTTCCTTGAGTTTATTCCATAACCCCAGCAGGTCAAAGACCACATTGTAATAAAGTCATTAGTTTGTAAATTGCATAATTGCTTAATGTAAAATTCATAATCCTCCTATGTCCAGTAGAATAAAGAAACAGAAATAAACATGAGAATACCTTTGACCAGCAAATATCTCCACCCTCCAGGGAGAGGTAGTAGTTTCTAGGCAAGCCACCGTGGAGAGGGTCCTGTCTTCCCCTGAGGTGGGCTCTGAATCCAGCACTCTTCCCCCTTCAGAATAAAGATTAGAGAATAATTCTAATATATGACCTACAGTGGTGGTTTGTGTTTTAGGAGACCCTCCCTTCAAGAAGGTTCTAATAAGCCCCACTGGGACACCTTGGCCCCTCCGTGGACTCCCCAATCTGCTCCGTGCCTCCCTCACCAGCTCCCCAAAGCATCTCCACACCTCAGAGGGTCACTTGGAATCAGCTAACTTTTCAGGCTTCTTTCTTCCCAGTTCTGCTGCAACACAAGGAACCCAGATTACATCAGGGAGAGGCTGAGCTCCAGAGGTTCCCGCCAGGAGCTTATTCATTGTCACACTGTTCCTGCTTCCTGACAGGTTCACTTGAACCATCTGGAGATTGGGGAACAAGGGCAGTGCTGGGATTCATGAAATCCAAGCATTCCGGGACTGTAATGAGAGATGTTGTCTCAGAGGTGTGCTCTGTGGCTGTCTGTGTTTCTTAATTGTGCATCCTGCTGGGGTTAAGAACAGAAATAGAAAAAGACAATTGTCTTATCTCTCCTTCCCCAAGGAGGTGAGCATGCACAAGATTTCATGGCCCAGCTCCTCCAGTGATCCCTCAGCTGTCAACCAGGCTGAACCCATCAGAGAATAATACCTCCTTTTCTGAGGATTCTCATACATTTTCAATCAGAAACAGAAGCAAAGATTCTGCAGCTCCCACAGAAACTCCCAGAAACCTTCAGGTGCTTCACTCTTCTGAGATCCTTGAGTCCAAATGTGGGAGCTAACCAGGCTGCCTTTCTTTACTTTACCATGAATTCCTCCTAGACATGTTGTCTAACTCCTACTCTTGGTTAACTCTCACATCCACTACAAACATTGGTAAGGAAATTCACTCCTCTCTAAATATGTGCTGATTATTTTTCTGTAATGGGGATAGTTTGAGGGAAAGTTCATGCTAACTTCTTTGAACATATTATCACAAATAATGTAAGTATATAGAGAATTAAGCTAATTTTGTTTTATATGATGGAGAAGTAACTGCATGAAAGCAACAAAGCTATAAACATTGATGCCAGATTTAAATAAAAAAAGAATACATCACTCATAAAATTAACATGTTGATTTCCACTGCTATAATCAAGACTATGAAAGCTTTAGAGGATCATGGTTTTAAGGGACTATTGTGAACCTTGACGAGGCAATGCTTGTCAGGTTCATACAATCTTCAGGCTACTCAAGAAATTGTTAAAGACTGATGATAATTGATCTCAGCTATTGAGTGTTCACTGCACACCAGGAATGTGTTCAATGTATAACTCATATCATCTCAATTAATCCTCACAACCACCTCATAAAATCGTTACTATCACTTTTCTCCTTTTTTAAAAAAAGGAAACAACCTTGGAGAGGCTAAGATATACACTCAAGGTCATATAACTAATAAATGTGCATCTAAGCCCATGGCTCTTTAATTGCTTTTTTTGTTTGTTTGTTTCTTTCAGTGTTTACTCTGCCTGAGAACCTGATTCACAGCAGAATGTGGAGAGCTCATTAATGTTTTGCTTTCTCATATTTAATCAAATTGATATCTAGTTAGTCAATAAATAATTATTGAACACCTACCATATTCCGGGCACAATATAGAGTCAAATGTATTTCACCTTTTTAGTTACTTACTAGATCAATAAATCAAATGAATGAATGAATGCCTAAATATCATTTTTTGGGTTTTTTTGTTGTTTGTTTGTTACCATCCTTGGACTGAATCTGGAATTTCTGGCTTGCTTAAATCTTGCCTACTATAATTGGCATACTTGAAAGACACTTCTATTTCCCCACCCCTTCCCCCATCCCATCGTTTCTTTCATTCTATGTGATGCAAAGAAAATCTCATTTGTGGAAAAAGTGAAAGAATATACTAAAAATAAAATTAAATATAACCCAGTTGCAAACATAACATTCAGGCATTGTATATGTTTTAAATGATATATATGTACAAGTTAGCCATTTAAACATTTGGCAAATTATTTTATGACTAACAAATTTTCCAACATCGCCATGATTTCTATGCAAATACGTAAGACTGAAATCATTTCTTTGCACATGACCAAACCTGTCTACTTCAAAAAGTAAAACTTAAGATCTGATGAGCCGACACACTCCTAATGAGTCACATCATATTCTTTAAATGAAAGCTATTTTTAAATCCTCAGGTCAAACAAAGTATTAGATGGTTTACTTCCAAGTAATAAGAATATTTGAGGCCAGGTGCAGTGGCTCATGTCTGTAATCCCAGCACTTTGGGAGGCTAAGGCAGGAGGACTGCTTGAGGCCAGTAGTTTGAGACCAGCCTGGACAACACAGTGAGACCCTATCTCTAAAAAAAATGTTTTTTTAAAAAAGGTAGCCAGACATGGTAGAGCACACCTGTAATCTCAGCTACTGGGGAGGCTAGGTGGGAGGATCACCTGAGCCTAGGGACGTTGAGGTTGCAATGAACCATGATTGCGCCACTGCACTCCAGCCTAAGTGACAGGACGAGACCCTGTCGCAAAAAAAAAATGACAATGACAAAGGGGGGTTATGAGTGTATTAGTTGTAACAAATATTCTTTTTTTCTTTTTCTTTTTTTTTGAGACAGGGTCTCACTCTATTGCCCAGGCTGAAGAGCAATGGCTCTAACATAGCTCACTGCAACCTCAAACTCCTGAGCTCAAGCAACCTCCTGCCTCAGTCTCCCAAGCAGCTAGAACTACAGGCTTTTGCCACAATACCCAGCTACTTTTTTTGTTTCTGTTTTACTTTTTTTTTTGTTTTTAGAGACAGAGTTTCACTACGTTGCCCAGGCTGGTATTAAACCACTGGCTTCAAGCAATCCTCCTGCCTCAGCCTCCCAAAGTGCTGGGATTACAGGCATAAGCCACCGCACCTGGCCTCAAATATTTCTGATTCTTGGAAATAAACCATCTGATACTTTGCCTGACCTGAAGATTTAAAAGTAGTTTTCATTTTAAGAATGTTGTGTGACTCATTAGAAAGGAGTTTGTCAGCTCATCAGATCTTAAGTTTTACCTTTTGAAGTAGACAGGTTTGGTCATGTGTAAAGAAATGATTTCAGTCTTACATTTAGAAACCATGGAGACATTGGTTAATTTATTAGTCATCAAATAATTTGCCAAGCTTTTAAGTGGCTAACTTGTACATATATCATTTAAAGCAAGCTTTTCCAACCTGTGGCCCATAGGCAGCTTTGAATGTGGCCCAACACAAATTCATAAATTTTCTTAAAACATTATATAATTTAAGTTCGCAAGCCATCATTAGTGTCAGTGTATTTTATGTGTGACTCAAGACAATTCTTCTTTCAACGTGGCCCAGGAAGCCAAAAGATTGGACACCGCTGAAAGTATACACAATGCCTGAATGTTATGTTTGCAACTGGGTTATATTTGTTTATTTTTTTTAGCCTCTTCTTTCACTTTTGCCAACCCTTTGGTAAATTTAATCCATTTGAGTTTAAGTAAGATGTTCTTTGTATCATGCAGAATGAAAGAAACTATGGGGGAGGAAAAGAAAATAAGTGTCTTTCAAGTATTCAGATTATAGTAGACATTCCAGATTCAGTCCAAGGATGGTTAAAAAAGCTATTTATGCATTCATTCATTTATTCATTTGTATTTATTGATTAATTTGTTCACACAATAAGTATTTACTGTCAGATTACAAAAGTGAGAGCACCTTGTCCTTGTTCACGAGGAGTGTGTTAACAACCCAGTCCCTGTAAAAGAAATCAGGGTTTCAACCCACGTGGCAACTATCCTTAAAGAAGCTGAGGGTCTTCACTAAGCTCTCCTTTCTTCTTGACTCTCCATCCAGCTTTCAAAGAAATTCATACTTGTGCATAGCGGACTTTTTTCTTTGTATAATCATTTGGGAAGTTACAAAAGGAAATAATGAAAGACTTAATAAAGAAATTAAGATTTTTATAAGATGTAGACTGGGTACATGGTTCACGCCTACAATCCCAGCACTTTGGGAGGCCAAGATGGGAGTAGCACTTGAACCCAACAGTTTGAGACCAGCCTGGGCAACATAATGATACATTGTCTCTAAAAAAATATTTATTATAAAAAATGAGCTAGGTATGGTGGCATGCACCTGTAATCTCAGCTACTTGGGAGGCTGAGGTGGGAGGATTGCTTGAGCCTGAGATGTCAAAACTCCAGTGAGCCGTAATCAGACCACTGCATTCCAGGGCAGGTGACATTTATTTATAAATAAATAAATAAAGATTTTTATGAGGTGTAAATTCAAATGCATTTCACAACCAAATATTTTCATATGCTTTGCATATTTTCCAATTAAATGTAGAAGGTTGGCCTAGCGGAGTATTTTTTTTTAATAGAATCCTGAAAAAAATATATAAGCCTTGGTCATGTGCTATGAAATTACAATATTCACTAGAATTTATTTGTGCCTTGCTGATAATAATCAATGATTTATTGATAATGCTTATAAGTACACAATCATTTGTTACCACTGGAAAAGAATCCAGTGGGGATGTTCTGCAGTGTTCCAATTAGATGATTTTTTAAACTTTCTTTAACTTTTAAGTTCAGGGGTACAAATGCAGTTTGTTACATAGGTAAATTTGTGTCTTGGGGGGCTTGTTGTACAAATTATCTCATCACCCAGATATTAAGCCTAGTACCCATTAGTTATTTTTCCTGGTCTTCTTCCTCCTGCCACCTTTTGCCCTCTGATAGGCCCCAGTGTGTGTTGTTCCCCTCTATGTGTCCATGTGTTCTCATCATTTAGCTCCTGCTTATATGTGAGAACATTAGGTATTTGGTTTTCTGTTCCTGCATTAGTTTGCTAAGGACAATGGTCTCCAGGTCCATCTATGTCCATCAAAGGACAAAAGCTCATTCCTTTTTATGGCTGCATAGTATGCCATGGTGTATATGTACCACATTTTCTTTATCCAGTCCATCGTTGGTGGACATGTAGGTTGATTCCATGTCTTTGCTCCAATGACAGCTGGACCAGGGTCTTATCCAAAGCAGCACATTTCCTTACATTAATCCGGAGAAGTTTTTTCTTCAGAGATAAGCAGGTACAGGTTCAATGGCTCAGCCTCAAGTTACTTTTGCCTAGCAAAGGCACTAAAAAAAAATTTGCACCCACAAAATACTAGATTTCTACAAGGTATACTGAGGAAAATGTTATCTAGGACTTAAGGATAAAACCCCAAATGTTATTTGGCACATCACCAATTCACAAATACCAATTACCTGACTGACAATTTTATTGCTATAATAATCTGCAAAATAATGAAGTCACTAAATTAGCTCTTTGCAAAAAAGTAGTTTTAATCAGACACCTGTAAAGTATTTAGCAATTCTTATGTTGCTGAAACACAGCTAATTTTTTATGAATGGTCATTTCTGGTGTTTTTGAAAGACACTTCATTTTAATTTTTTCTCCATAGTTTCTTTTATTCTACATGGTAAAAAGAACATCTTACTTAAACTCAAATGGATTAAATGTACCAAACGGTTGGCAAAACTGAAAGGAGAGACCAAAAAAGAAATGATATATAACCCAGTGGCAAACATAACATTCAGGCATTGTGAATGTTTTAAATGATATGTTTGTACAAACTAGCCCTGAAAAATCTAATATCTACAAATTGTATGAGTTGTTATTCAAAACCAGTTTTCGGTAAATCAGTAACTGTGCATCAATCAGTAGATTAACTGCCAAATCGCCAATTATCGGTTCCTATTTATGACTCATTGTAAAATAAAGATTGCAATTAGAACACATTTGTAGCACATCCATTAGTTCCTTCTCAGGAACCCAAACAATCACAATGTCATTAAAGTTGCTTTTTATCTTTCTGCTTCTTCTGTTATTATATAAACTGCTCCAGAGTACAAAGGTGGATTTCAGATGTTGAAAGCAAAACAGTTGATATTTCTACTGAGAAATTGGGATTACATCATCTTTTTTTCTAGGACCACTCTAATTTCCATATTTGGAGTTCTTCCATTACTGATTATTTCTACACTTCAGGAATTCTCTTAGTAATTTTTATATGTGCAGCTTCAAGACAATCCTTATTAGATGGTCATTTTACTTCCACTTTTGGTACGACACTCTTTCTTCCCATGATGTGTCAATGGCTCTATGTATCCTATCATTTGTGACACAATGCCTTCTATAACACTGGATATTTACAATCGGTAATTAACTTAACGTGTAGCTAAATCACTCATGTTAAAAGTTTATCTTTTAAAAATGACTAAATTCATAAAATAATCTCTAGGTGTTTTTGACAATCTGGTCCTAAGCGATCTTTTTCTTTTTCACAGGGAAATGGGGGAAAATCAGACAACGGTCACAGAGTTCCTCCTACTGGGATTTCTCCTGGGCCCAAGAATTCAGCTGCTCCTCTTTGGCCTCTTGTCCCTGTTCCATGTCTTCACCCTGCTGGGGAACGGGGCCATCCTGGGGCTCATCTCACTGGACTCCAGACTCCACACCCCCATGTACTTCTTCCTCTCACACCTGGCTGTCGTCGACATCGCTTATGCTTGCAACATGGTGCCCCAGATGCTGGTGAACCTCCTGCATCCAGCCAAGCCCATCTCCTTTGCTGGCTGCATGATGCAGACCTTTCTCTGTTTGACTTGTGGACATAGCGAATGTCTCCTGTTGGTGGTGATGTCCTACGATCGTTATGTGGCCATCTGCCACCCTCTCCGATATTCCATCATCGTGACCTGGAGAGTCTGCATCACCCTGGCCATCACTTCTTGGACATGTGGCTCCCTCCTGGCTCTGGTCCATGTGGTTCTCATCCTAAGACTGCCCTTCTGTGGGCCTCATGAAATCAACCACTTCTTTTGTGAAATCCTGTCTGTCCTCAGGCTGGCCTGTGCTGACACCTGGCTCAATCAGGTGATCATCTTTGCAGCCTGTGTGTTCTTCCTGGTGGGGCCGCTCTGCCTGGTGCTGGTCTCCTACTCACACATCCTGACGGCCATCCTGAGGATCCAGTCTGGGGAGGGCCGCAGAAAGGCCTTCTCTACCTGTTCCTCCCACCTCTGCGTGGTGGGGCTCTTCTTTGGCAGCGCCATCATCATGTACATGGCCCCCAAGTCCCACCACCCTGAGGAGCTGCAGAAGGTACTTTTTCTATTTTACAGTTTTTTCAACCCAACACTGAATCCCCTGATTTACAGCCTGAGGAACGCAGAGGTCAAGGGCGCCCTGAGGAGAGCATTGTGCAAGGAAAATCATTCCCAACTGGTGTGACATTTGAATCTCCAGCCTCAGTCATCTCCTGGAATATTGGTACCAAATACCACCTAAGTTCACTACTCTTTATATCTGAAACTGAATGAACCAAGCGACTCTACAAAGCATTCCTTTTTCCTGCCTGGGAAGTATTTAGTTTTTGATGCATTTGTTATACTTAACATTTTTTAATTTAACTGCTTATTGAGTTGAGAATGTTGGGTAAAGATTTATTTTGTACACTGCTATGAGTCCAGAAGTTTAAAACAGACACCCCACCCATGACTTAGTCAGGTATGCTCCATAGTAGTGGAATAGCAGTTATTACCAGACAGAGTCATACCTATAAAAAGTTTTTTAAAATACAGCCACAGGCAGAGACTCCAGAACCCACTGATACCTCTGTCCATTTTCATCTTTATTTGGATGTTTCCCCTCAATTGTACTTCCTCTCTAAGTAGTAAATGTACCTAAAAGCCTACTTCAGCTTGGAAGGAAATTGATTTTTATAAAATCCTACAAAGTGTCTGACAATTTTTGTTGTCAGAGAGAGTGAATCCATAAACATTCAGCTGGCAATATGAAGCAATTACACAACAAAATCCACTTTCCAACCTGCCCTGAGATTGTGATGGTCATTTGTTTCTACTCTTCTCACCTCCTCCAGGGGACTGTCTATGATTCTCTCTGAATAAGCAAATGCTCTTCACTTAGAGGAAGTTAGTAAGTACCACCACACAACTTTTCACTGCTGGGGATGAATGGAAAGTCCCACACAGAGACAATTCAATGGAAAAAAGGGTTTTAATAATCACATTAATATTTAGCATTATTATAAATTACTCTGTGCCATCCACTGCACATTTGATAGGTACTTTATAGAGATAACCTCAGTTTATCATTATAGTCAATCCATTTCCCATTATTGTCCCATTTTATAGATGCAAACTTTAAGCAGATGGAAAATGTTAGACTCAAACCCAAACAATCTGGCTCCCAAGCCTTCTCTACTTAACCAGGGCAATGTAGGACTTTATTAGCAACATACCTAATGTAGGATATGTTAGGTGAATGTAGGTTTCTTCTCCGTCTAGAATGTGCCATGATGAGGCCAGAAGAGTCAGAGATTATTTATGGAAGTCTTCTTATCCTGTTTGACGAGTCCTATGGCCATGGCTGCAAAAGAGGTTAAGAGATTCAGAGGAACACAGAACACAGAGTGTTTGGGAGTGGAGGCTGTTCTCAATGAGATTAGAGAGTTAGTTTAGAACTGTACTTGGTTCTGGGTGGTGAGATCCAGAACAAAGACATCTCTAGTTTACATACAACACTCACATGCTCACGCAAATGCACACGCACACACACATACACACACACACACACACACACACACACTCTGAGTGCTTGGTGAAGCACTATTCCAAGAACCTTACAAGTAAGAGCTCTTTACGTCCTCATAAAAACCCTGAGGTAGAGACTATTACTACTGTTTTTAGGTGAGAAAACAGAGCTACAGAGAGATTATATAATCTAACCAATGCTCCCAGCTAATAAGTACCTAGTCCAGAATCAAACTTAGGCAATATGACTGCTGAACCCATAATCATAACCATTATATAAGCAATTACACAACAAAATCCACTTTCCAACCTGCCCTGAGATTGTGATGGTCATTTGTTTCTACATTTCTCACCTCCTCCGGGGGACTGTCTATGATTCTCTCTGAATAAGCAAATGCTCTTCACTTAGAGGAAGTTAGTAAGTACCACCGCACAAATCAAAGAGATCATGAAATTTCCAAAGATGAAGAGGAGGAGAGATGAAAAGCAATTTTCAATCTCTAGCCAAAGATAGGCATTAGGCTCCAGACAGAAAAGTACTTAAAGCTGGAAAAAACAAACAAACAAACACACCAGCTTTTTTTATACTGGTGCATGAAACGAGATGAGGTAGCAAGAAGGGACTGTGACTCCAAGGGTCAGAGATGGAGGAGAAGCCTGTTGACGGTCAGGATGGTGAAACCAAAAACAATGGATAAATGAGGTTGACATTGCAGTTTTAAGTTGACGGCTCATCAACTGAAGAACATTAGAAAGTGTTTTTGTAAATTATCTAGCCAGGCATGGCAACATGTGCCTGTAGCCCCAGCTATTTGGGAGGCTGAGGTAAGAGGATCACTTGAGCCCAGGATTTTGAGGCTTCAGTGAGTCACAATCGCACCACTGCATTCCAACCTGGGTGACAGAGACCTTGTCTCCAATAATAATAATAATAATAATAATAATAATAAAATAATTAATTTTTTAAAAATTACCCAAACTGGATATACCATTTGTAATTCCACTGCTGCCGAACAGTTTTTAAACAGTTGTTTAGCTTCATGGCAGATGTTGCGTATTGTGATGGAACCAATACTGGGAAGGGATACATTCAAGTGGCAGGACGAAGATGAAGAGCTCTAATACCAGGGATAGGTTTCAAGGGATGAATGCTCCCCTGGTAACAGAGGAACGGCAGGAAATCACGATGTGCAGAAACCATGCTCAGGCAGTTGCCTGTGTGGACCCTAAATTCTGTGTGTGCAGTCCTCTCTTAGGATTGGCCCAGGCATCCAGGAAGCCCACAATACTGCCTACCCCTTAAATACACAAGGTGCGTACCAGAGGCCCTGGTTCTAGTTCCAGGTGTATCATTTGCTAGCTGTGTTTTTTTGCAGAGAACTCCCTTAAACTGCCTGAGCTTCAGTCCTTCATCTGAAAATTATGCATATGGAAGCTGTTTAGGACACCCCAGAGTGCCACTGAAAACCAAAAGCAAGATGCAAATGGACACATTTTTTTTTTGAAGTCTTAAAAGTGCTATGTGAACATAAGATAAACTGTTATTATTACCATGCTGTCAGAAGTTATTTTAATCCTGTCAGGGTTGCTAAACTTTCTGATCTGGAACCAAAATTTCTCTTTAAACAGGAAGAGCATTGGTGCTGGTAGGTCACCTACGCCTGGCTTCCCCATGTCTCCCCTAGAGGCACAGAAGGCCACTTGGTCTTGGAGGGCACAGCCAGACCAGGAGCAGGAGCTGCGGCCCAGACTCAGGGAACCTCTGTGAGTCAGCTGGCAAAGACTCCCGGGGAGCCTCTCTCTCTTTGAATCTGGTCCCAGCCCATTCACTTGGAAAAAACAGGAGACTTCTCCCAAAGTCAAGGAATTCAGATTTTGGTTTTGGTTTCCAACTTTTTGTAATCCTCAACCTGGGATTTACAGTATATGTCTTGATTATGTTTCATTCATCTCTTCACAAAGGGAAGGACAAGCATTGGTTCATCTCTTTACATCTGTACATTCCTAGCACAGAGTGAGTACTCACAAAAAGCATAAGGAATACATAGAGGACATTTTAGCTATCTGTTGACTATGTCCGTTGACCCCATTTCCAAATTTTCAGTGTTGAGCCATCTTCTGATTTCTAACCTTCTTTAAATCCCTCTAATTTTAGGTTATAGTACAGTAGAAATTTAACTGTACCTGATGATTACTGAGCACTTACTATGTGGTCAGCACCGCATAAAATGCTTTAGTATAATTCTTACATCAAATCTGTGGAGTAGGTACTAATACTATCCTAACATTACATGGGGAAAATAAAGTTTAGTGAAATTAATTAATGTATGCAAGGTTGCCAAATCATTCAGTGGTAGAAACATGACTCAAGACCAGGCAGTCTGGCTGCAAATAAACTCTGAACCACTCTCTTGTAGAGGACCTCCTGATACTCATCTGCTGAATGGTTGGCAACAGGCCTGTTCATAGTAGACACTCAATAAACTGACTAAATGAACAAATGAGTGGTCATTGTGTTCAAATTTCTACTCACATCATATAGGCCTAGGGATGAGTTACCCTTTATTCTTTTTATTTATTTATTTATTTGAGATGGAGTCTTGCTCTGTCGCCCAGTCTGGAGTGCAGTGGCACGATCTCGGCTCACTGCAATTTCTGTCTCCCAGGTTTAAGTGATTCTCCTGCCTCAGCCTCCCGAGTAGTTGGGACTACAGGCATGCGCCACCACACCAGCTAATTTTGTATTTTTAGTGGAGAGGGCATTTCACCATGTTGGTCAGGCTGGTCTCAAACTCCTGACCTCAGGTGATCCACCCACCTCGGCCTCCCAAAGTGCTGGGATTACAGGCGTGAGCCACTGCGCCCGGCCTATTTTTTTAAAGTTGAATCTCTTGTGCATTTGATTTGTCCAATTCATCCTTTTAGCATATTCTTATGCAGTAGGTATTAATAATCGAGAACGTCCTATTGCTCTAGGATCACAGAGAAGAAACAATTTAGGGTTGAAATTTAGCACTTACTATTAAAAATGATGGGAATTCTATTTATGTTTTATCATAGGAGTCCATGGCCATTGTCTTATCACAAGTGTGCCAAATGACTGAACCTGTGATTCCAGAAGGCCAGGATGGTACTGGTGCTACACAGGAAGTCATGTTAGAGTGCTGCTCTTGAAAACTCTGGCAAGAGGGTGGAGACAACTGTAGGCAATAACTACTGGGAATGATAGGGATGGGAATTTGTGTGTTGTAGTCAGTTTCCTTGCCTCCTGAAATTGGCACCTGCGGCATCTTTGGCATGTGGACCAGGGATTGCCAACTGCCAACCTGTAGGACTGGTGTTTGCTGTCTGCTGTGAGTGTAGAGTATCATTGTTAAACACAGGTTCGTGAGAATAGACAAAAAGGAAAGACATTTGGAATCCTGTCTCACTGGACTTCACAGTTCTGATGTTTTCACAACCAGCAGAGAAGTGTCTTACATCCCTTGCTTTCTTCATAAATTTTAAATAGCGTTGGCTCATTTTTATCTGTGTTTTTCAAACCTGTGTTTCTATGTTTTTAATTTTTGAAATCATGTTGTGCCAAAAGAAGAAGTGAACCCTTGAACACAGTATGATTTGGTCAACAGAATACTGGCTAGGCATGAGAATGTCTGGGCTCTCACGGCAATTCCCCCA